TTCTCAAAAACTGGGAGTGGTAGGGGGCTCTCGTGAACTAGAGGTACGGTGTTCACCCCTCATTTAAAATGCCCAGGGTTTTAAACCTGTCAGCGACGGAATATTTTCTTCTCTAAAATGTTCTCCTCTCACTTCCTTTCTTGCTCTCTAACCGTGGTCTTAAGTCTGCTTTGGTCTCCACTTTCTGCCCCTCCCTCTCCCTCCTTCCCCTCCCCCTTAGTTCCCCTTCTGTAGGCCCCGAACTCTTTCTGCAGCCTTTCTACTGCGACTCCTTGGCTCCTTATTGCTGTTTTTCAGCCACACCCCTGATCTTAGGGGAGGTAACATCTAACACCTAGCCTTCTCGGATAAGGGCGAACAAATCTCGGAAGTCCCGTGTGCTAGTTGCACACGTTACAGATCCTTTGTTCGTCCCAAAATCGATAAGAGCAGGCCTCCGAGCAGGCTTCGGTTGCTGCCCGGGAAAAAATCAAAATTAATTACTACCAAACTGAAAATTTTTAATGTGTCCAGCGCGCTCATATGACCTTTTGCAGTTGGGAGCGCCGTATAGCTTTAAAAAACAATAAAAATTAATAAAATAAATTGGGAGACAAGCTTATGTGATTTAGCGGTTAAGCGCTTCGGTGTCGCACACAGGAGACCAGAGTTCCATTCCCGAATGGGGAGACATTCTTTATCAAGTCGGTTTTTCTGATGGGATGGTGTATGTGTATCTCTCTCAGCCTAGGTTGGCCCAGACAGGCAGGGTAGGGACTCCGCTTCCAAAATCTAAAAAGTGTCGATGTAAAACGCCTACGTTAAAAAAAAACACCTGAGGACCGCACTGAAATTGTTAGCCACTGCATGTTGATGAATTTGTTTGTTGGTGAACTAAAAAGTGTAGGATAAAATGTAACAAGTACCGTGTTGTATGTAATAAGATTTTTTTCCTGCACGTACGATTGTTACATAAATTATCTCTAGGGATAAGTGAAAGTCGTTTCACTTCTCTCTCGCCCTCTCTCTCTCTCTCTCTCCCGCTCTCTCTCTCTTTCTCTCTCTCTCTCTCTCTCTCTCTCTCTCTCTCTCTCTCTCTCTCTCTCTCTCCCTTTCTCTCTCTCTCTCTCTCTCCCTTTCTCTCTCTCTCTCTCCCTTTCTCTCTCTCTCTCTCTCTCTCTCTCTCTCTCTCTCTCTCACACACACACACACACACACACACACACACACACACACACACACACACACACACACACACACTGATCTGTATTCTTATACATATCTACAAAATCGTATCTGAAGACACCATTGGGAAAGTGGCATCATAAGTCACACTACACGAACATTTCCGAGGACTACTGTCTTTCTAGTACAATGACATGGCCATAATGGATGATTACAGGGTTTTTATTTTAGGAAGTGTCTACGTACTCCCCGATTGGGGTCTACATAGTCATGGTGTCTAGGTGGACCCCAAAAATGTTGGATTGTGATTGGCTCGCTGAGCGAGCGGTAGTTTGCATTGGTTTATAGTGACAAAAGCCCTCGTTATAATACTGTGACATACTGGGTAAGAAAATTCAAATCTGGATTCGTGTCGGTGATGGAAGAAGATCGTGAAGGGCACCCATCCTTTGTGGTAACTGAAGAAAATGTATCCATAGTGAAGAAACTGGTTTTACAAGCCCGACTTATAACTTTAAACAGCTCTCAAGTGAAACGGGAATCAGTGTAGGGTCAGTTGAAACGATTCTCTATGACAATCTTAACATGAATTATAAGGTGTCTGCGCGGTGGGTACCCCGCCTTTTGACAAGTGAGCAAAAGAAGCAGAAGGTTGAGTCCTGCAAAAATCTCCTTCGAATTGAGTCCAATGACACAAATTTCTTTAAAAACATGGTGTCTGCGGATGAAACATGGATTTGACATTTTGATCCAGAACAAAAAATGTCCTCCATGCAATGGAAAACCCCTTCTTCTCCCCCACCAAAGAAGGCAAAGGTAACACCGTCAAGTAGAAAGGTCATAATGTCGAGTTTCTGGGACTGTGACGGTATCATCATGACTGACTACCTGGACAATGGAAAAACAGTGACAGAGGACTACTATTCGGGTTTGCTGATAAAAAGGCTGTCCGAATTGGTGAGAAAAAGACGTGGAAACTTCCGTAATGGGGTCCTTCTACTGCATGACAACACCTGTGCGCACAGGGCACAACAACAGTCCAGACAGCAGAACAGTGAGGCTTTGAAATCCTGGTACTCATTTATCTAACTGCTGGCATATCAAGAACATATGTGTCATTTATTCCTTTCATTAAAGTAGATCGGGACTTGAATTAGTGGTTCATCAACCGCTCCTGTGGACTTGAATTACTGTGACCATAACTTGTTCCGTAAAAAACAAACGGTGTGTATGCATGGTAATTTAAATACTTGAAGTCTATCGAAGTATACCGCTACCTCACAGCCCGATAATGTGGATACAGGATACGTTTGCTGGATTCTTCTTATGAAGTGTGCATTGCATTATTCCTGTACTACTTCTACAAAGATAGATAAAAGCAGACATTTGACTTGTGCAACGGTTTGTCTAAAGTGAGAAAGAATGGAAGTGAAGTCTTTGAATGCCCAAAATGTGACAAACTCTTCTCTGACAGAATACGTTTCTTTGGACACAGCAGAAGCAACGAGTCGTCATAACTTTTAATTCTGTTAATTATACTATTTCGCTAGGGAAATATTATCCTCGGCATGTATATGAAGTATCGAAGACACTGGCGGACCAACCGAATTATCTTATGATTTTGATAGAGCATATAGAACATTTGGTTTCTGACCTCATAAGCTTAGTAACCCAAAAAGGCCAATAATGTCAGATAGAACTCTGTGTAATTCTAAGGTAGCGACTTGTTAACATTTCTCTAGTGCCTAACTGGCATAAGAAGCCCAGTGTACAGTGGGGTCTAAGAGAGGATGAGTGGAAAGCACCACCGGTAGGTCTCCCTCCTTTTCTCTCGCTTTGTTCTTTCTGTCAGCTCGGCTTGCTTTACCGTTGTCACGTCGACTAGCGTCCCTTTGGTTTTTTTTGTTGTTGTTTTTTTAATAAGAGTTTTACGGCGCTCGTAATTGCTTTAGGTCATATGAGCGCACGAAACATAATTTGGTTGCATTCAAGACAGTTCTTAGCTGAACTTCATTTTGATCAATGATCAGATTTAAAAATGTTAAACTCAAGGTAAAAATCTCAATCTAACACTCATTACTCAGCTACCTCTGAGTGTCTTAAGAGTAATAAAAGCTCGTCCGTCAATGTCTGACGATGAATAATACATCCGCAGAGGAACAATATTTCCCAGCGAAATGGAAAAAAAATTGAAGATTAAAAGTTACAAAGTCTTATGGCTCCTACTGTAGCGGATGAAACCAATTTTGGCAGAGAAAAGTTTGCCCCATTTTGAACATTTATAGGCTCCACTTCCACTTGTGGATGTTCGCAGCATGCGGGCTTCTCTTTTGGTTTCAGCATTTCTTATTCTAGAAGCCTCATAGGACTTGCTGCCCACTTAAGAGTAAGCCGTACTCATTATGCATTGTTGGAGCACACAGGAGGCATAAGAGTGTGTACTTTAAAGTGAAAGCTGCTTGGCTCAGCTTGGGATTATCTGAAAAAATAGAATCCTATTTCCCAGTGCCGTTGTCCTTGCTCGAATCCTGATGCCTCAAGAAGCTCGATTGAAATAATAAATGGGGGGGGGGGGGGGGGGGGGGGGG